AAACGACAACAAAAGGCAAAAATGCCTTGGCACGGAACGTGTTAAAGAAGAATTGTGAGTTATAGAGGCAAAACTCGATTAGGTTATATAGCATAATTTTACATAATTTGCAATGTATGTAGAAGAATGATTGAGGTAGCCATTCCACTTTATGAGAAATCATAAATTGAGAAATGGTTAGATATAAATTCCGTCTAAGTAAAGAGTTATCAATTTTTGCCCAAATGAAATATCATTCTATCTTTGAACCCCCGTGCGAAGATTTCACGGATGTAGTTTTTCACCAAGTAATAAGTTATTCAAAACAATGAGATTGAATCGATCGGCCGTACCAAAGATGAAACATAAATTTCCTTCTTGCACATTGCTACCTCCAAGAGCCTCTTCGGTTAACTTTTATGATCTCTACATCTTACATTTATTCCCTCTGGTTTCGTTTCCTTTCTTTCTTTCTTCTCTTTTTCGTCTATCTTTCGAGGCAGGCAGCTCTCTCGCGAACAAAAGAAACAAAAGACGAAACGAATTAACTTTCGGTCTCAGCTCGGCTGATAAACGGCTTCGCACGAGATATCTAAATATCGCGGAGACTGTAAAAGTCGTTCGCCCGCAAACCCCGGGCGCGAAAATTTACGTTCGATTCGCATCCGTTGCGGGGCGAATGCAAGTGTGCGGTACACCTCGGGCGTTATAACTTCGGCAGTCGTTACTTATAAATTATCATCGCAACAGTTATAACTCATAGATTGCGAACGACGCCCTATAACTTACAGTCGTGGCGGCGTAAGTTATAAACGCGGCTCGTGTAATTTATACGTTACGCGACTGCCGACGTTGTAAAACTGTTGTTGGCGGGCCGGCAGAGACTACATTATCTTCGATACGAGATTGTAATACGCGTATCTGACGATCCTCGGTGTATTTTTCCGCTTATTCCCGCTCTAACAATCTCGAAATCTGCACTTCCTGCCATTTTTTTCCTGCATTTCCATTTCCATTTCCACTGGATCGTGCGAAACAAATGTGCGAACCTTGTTAACTAATTTCATCATGATATTACAAAAAAAAAAATGATGAATCTGACAGTTTGTTGCTCTCCAATTATTATAAAATATTTGGTCGCGCGATTCGTATATATTTTTCACGGTGACGTGAAGCGAGATTTCCCAGCTTCTCTTCAGGCTGAGGAGAAGACGGTAAATTGACCGATAATGCAGCTTGGCACTGATTGCTGGATAACAATGATGGATGCGCGAGGGGCGCCCTTCGACCAACGCGGTCCTTCAAGGTGCACGCCAAGGTCGGTAACCTCGCGGGCCCCTCGGGTACTCTTTGGCGCCATGCTCTTCGTACTTTTAGCGAGAGCCGAGCTACAGGTATTACCTCGTGTTGTCCTGCCCCATTGGGCAAACAAAACATCGTGTACCAACCTCGGCGAAGCATTGCGATTCTTCTAGGTTAGATTCCCCCGGCGAAGCAACTGGCTGGGATTTATACGAGACCTCGATGGTAATCGGCGTGGTACACGGATAGCCCGAGAAGAACGGCCGATTATCCCGGCCTATCAGAGTAATTTGATTAATTTTCCAGTTGTTGGGCCAAGTATTATCGCCTACTGATACGTTTTCGCGTGATTAATGTAGGTATTGTTGGAGCTTAGATCCGCGATCATTTGAACGGTCACGATTTTTATATCGATCGGGAATGATTTAAGCGAGAAAATATATATACACACCGTGTTAGGAACAAAGATTAAGGTCTTGTTTTCACAACGTGAGAAAGTGGAAATCTTCACGATTCAGTTTTATGTACTATTGTGTCATGTTCGCTGAAAGATATTCTGACGATCGTGAATTGATCGTCAATGTTTGCCAATTGCCGTATAAAGAATCTCTTGTTATTAAAATGCTTTATGGATATAACTTGCATTCATCCAACGAATGAAAATTAAAAGTTTATACAAGACAGAAGGAAACATAAAGTCAAAATTAAACTAGGAACAAACATTATTGTAATGACAGAGAGTTAAATAATTTGTTTAAAAGATACTGGCACCACGAAGGAGAAAAGAGGATAGTGATAACGCAAGGAGAAGAGAAATTAATCGATGTCGGGAATTATTTTGAGAGGAATATTTTACATGTTTGTCGAGATGCAGATACGGGGTTACAAGAAAAACGAATCGGTGTCAATCAACAGCCGGAAGGTGCGCGTCTTCGGTCCTTGATCTCGTTCCCTTTAACAGCCGCGAGTAAAGTGTCATTTTCTGTTGTTCTTGTTTATCAATATCGCTGGACGCGCATCGCTGTTCCACTGAAACCATTTTGGAATGCGAGCCGCTCCGATTTCAACCGCAGTTCGGCCGGGCAAAAATTCTTAACATTGCTGTAAGGTTATCACATCGTTCGCTCGATACCTGCCCGTAATTACGAGACGCAATTACATAAACCGTCTTTTTTATCTTCGTTAATTAGCCACACGCGTGTCCGATGCTGCGTTACAAATACGCATCGTCGATTAAAACGTTCGTTCCTGCTCGCCAATCGAACAAACCGATTACCATCCGATCGATAATTATTCGATACTGCGTCGTGAGCAACCCTGTTTCGTGAGACCAGCAGTCTTCTTACTCCGTGCTTATTTGCATGAACGGGATATCGTTTTTCATAGATGAAAAAGGATCTATCAGAGGATCAAGGAAGTGTGCAGACAGGACAAAATGATCTTCGAAGTTGTAGCGACATCTGTTTCTCAATCATCTCGTCGAAGAGTTCATTTGAAATAAATTTACGGCGCCAACTTTGTTAAACTCTAAATTAAGAAACTATGTAAAAATCAATATTTTACAACATAATTACTATGGAGACGTTTGTAAATAATTGTCAAGGATACTTAACAAATTAACGAAGGTATAAATAAGAGTTGTAAAATAGATAAGATCCAGAGAGAACATTGAATGTTCAATATTGTACATCGTACATTCTAAAGTTTAAAGTTTATAAATAATTAATTAATTAATTTTATTGTTCAATTAAATATTGTTAAAGAATAGTTATTAAAAATATTAATATTAACAAAGTATAGTTATTTGTAATACGGTGAATTTATAACTTATCGATCATCGTACCTACAAAGTTTGAATTCGTGTCGCCATCTGTAGGTACATTTGTGATTGAAGCGAGTACGCTCCTTGGATAACAGTCGTGCACGGATAACTTTGTTACGGACGTCACGGGGTAATAAGAACAGAAAGACTAGATTTTTCATCAGGACAATAATTTTGTCTTTTGCTACTAATTTTTTCAATTATTTATTTCGATTTTCATTTCAGAATGTTCAAAGAGTATTTTTTTTCAATTTTCTAAATTAACCGTTAGATCGTTCTCGAATATCGCTCCCTTTTTTAAATTGCTTAAATTCAACACAAGTGAACAATATTCGTGTGATAAATATGTAAAACAATACTGATTTACGACACACTATAACGGGACACGTGCATAGTTACCTCCATGTGGCGGGTGATCGTTTTTTAAAATATTAATATCTCGGAGTATTACTATTTGAAAAGCGAACAAAATTTCGATTTCTCTCAATGTTATTGACAGTCTAACTTTTTTGCAAAATTTTTATACCTAGAATATAAATATTAATCATGTCTGTGATACAAGTTTAATTGTATAATATTCTAAAAAAGTAATTTTACGTATAGTACATTTCGTACGTAACTTATAATACGTTGCAATGATGTGTGAGAAATAAAATAATTAATAATTAAAATTATTAGCTAACTTTAGCGTCAACTAAAACTATTAGCTGATAAAATTAGTAGGTAATAGCGATGTAAAGTTTTCATTTCATCCGTAATCTTGATTATCTGAATTTTCTAAAATTAAAAAGGGAGAATGTTAAATTGCAATGAATCACAGTTCACTATGTGCAGAGTACAAAATTTATACCACAATATTTTGTTCCAAAATATCACAAACCTGTAAAGGCATATAAATTTATACTTTTATTTTACTTTTTAATTTCCATCTTTTTAATTACAAATATATATCCATTAAATTATATTAGATCTCCATCTCCGTTCTCTACAAACAAAATATTCCCAGCACCTCTTCAAAAATGAGAAACGAAATGTTCCCAGTATCTCTTCACTAAAGAAAAACGAAATAAAAAAATCCCTAGCTGGACGATACATGTATCTCGTTTCGAAATGCGAGGTGGTGCAAATGCGCGCGCCATCTGTTGACGATCTACGACTACGATCCGGCGAGCAGGATCAAGTGAAGTTAGTGAGTCGTGCGTCAAGTGACGGGAGGTTTATTTCAAGCTTACTGACGTGCATGTGTACGATTGCGCGCGCAATGAATCAGGCCCCAGTGTCGTGCATTCCAGCGGGGAAGATGTCAAAGGCGAAGAAGGTGCTCGACGAGGCCCGCGAGATCCAGAATCCAGAGTTGGATCTCGCGGATAAGAGTATCTCAACGTTCGAGGAGATGCCTGGATTGCGTGAGTCCTCCATATCGTCACGGGCCTTGTTCCGTTCGCCAAATTAGGCAACTTGTCCTGACTGGTTTTTGGAGCGGATGGAAATCCGAGGTGGCCATTTGTTGCTTGCCCACGCGGTGGGCGTGTCCACGCATGCGCGGCAAATTATCTTGACCGCCAAGCAATTCAAAAACCAATAATAATCATCGTCTCAATGAAGATAATTTTCCTCAATAAAGCGAAAATATTGAACGATATCAATATCGTCGCTGTTGCTGCTATTCATGTTTGTTTAATAATATAATTTTAGTTGGCGATTTGGAACACATGATTTCTTTTTTATTTTGCGCATACAAGTGTTTGAAATGTTTCTTCTGTTTCAGTTAATATGATTAATATCACAAGGTTAACACTGAGTCATAATAAAATTCAAGGTAAAGATTTGGAAATTTTTGTCAGTGATAAATTATACTCTTTGCTTACATTGTTTTCTTTCTTTTTACAGCGGTACCGCCGGGCCTTGCTAATCTAGTCAACTTGGAGATACTGAACCTGTTCAATAATTACATAACTGAGCTTCCAATTTCATTGTCACAGATGCCAAAGTTACGGATTCTTAATGTCGGGTAAGCAAGTCCTTTTGCTTGAATTACCATTAATTTATGACATCTTATACAGTATAAACAAATTTATAGGATGAACAAATTGGACGTACTTCCGCGTGGATTTGGTGCTTTTCCGGTATTAGAAGTCTTAGATCTAACGTATAACAATTTGAGCGAGAAGAATTTGCCAGGGAACTTTTTCATGATGGGTTAGTAGCAGTTTGATCATATTTAAAGTCGTATTTAATTCAGACCTAGATTCAACAACAATATTTTCCTTTTGCAGAGACCCTGCGAGCACTGTATTTGGCTGACAACGATTTTGAATATTTACCTCCAGAGGTTGGGCAACTAAAGAATTTACAAATTGTAAGTATTGTATAAGGATGCTTCTAGATTAAAATTTCTTTTCCTTCGCGCGATTTATCTCTGATTGAATTTGCATTTTTACACGTATTGCAGCTTGTACTGAGAGAAAATGATTTGATTGAATTACCAAAAGAAATCGGAGAACTAACGCGACTCAGAGAGTTGCACATTCAAGGGAACCGACTGACAGTCCTGCCTCCAGAGATAGGTACGCTCATGTAAGACAAGAGAAAATTTAAAAATATTTACGAATTGGACAGGTAGGACAATGTGAGCCTAATATTTTAGGAAATTTGGACTTGGTGAGTAACAAAGCAGTGTTCAGAATGGAATTCAATCCGTGGGTAACACCGATCGGCGATCAATTGCAAGTTGGCATTTCTCACGTTATGGATTACATACGTTCTGAAACGTACAGGTAGTAAGTATCATGCACTTATTTTATGTGCAATTGTTTATCAAAAGATATATCTTGTTTAGATCACGTTTCTTTTTGTTCCAGCGTGTATAATCGGCACCAAAGCGCCAAAGGACCACCGCCGCCGATAGAAAACGACAAGAGTAAGAAGATATCACGCGTTCGTTAAAACAGCAACAGAAATATTTCTGAACTAACACAACTCTTTCTAGTTCATTCACTGCCAGGAATTTCGCAGTTGTAACATTATTGCAATGAAAGCGGTGCCTTAAATATTAACACAAAGATAGATATTATGCATTTGAATCTTGCAATACGTGACACGTGTACAACATAAATTATATATACATGCATTATTATATATACATATTATGTAATATTGTGTAATTGTTATATTAATCAGAGTTGACGATCTTATTAATATATAATAAGTGCTATTTTTATAACAAGTAAATAATAAATATAATTTATATAATAAACTGTGCTTTAGATCAATTGGAAATTGTTCCGTTTTGCAGAAGTAGCAGCCCTTGATCAAATAATTTCTACAGTAGCTCATTTATGATACCTTTTTTTTTGTTTTCTTTCCTAGAGTAAGTGCAATTCATTTCTATTTTGCTTGACTTAACACGCAAACAGCAATTTTGAATTAACAAAGCTCTTGGCTTACTCGACTACATCTCTTGCTTTACACAATGCTTGTTTAAATGAACAGGTTTGCATTATTTTCGTTAATATTAATACCAAAGGTTTCTAACAGTAGATAAATAGTTGAAAAATAACAAGTCGTATTTGACAAGACGAAAAGCAAAAATTAATTCGACGAGGATGGGATTCGAACCCACGCGTGCAGAGCACATTGGATTAGCAGTCCAACGCCTTAACCTCTCGGCCACCTCGTCAGTTCAAACACAGTGGAGAAACGTTCTTCCAACAGGGGTGATTTCATCCTTTCAAAAAGGATGCTTGAGCTTCGTTTAATAATAGTAACTATTACTGTACGTATCTGAAGAATCATCGATAATCTTCAAAACATTCTGATCATTTCTAACGATTAAAAAAAAAAAAATATTACACGTTGTTTAATAAAAATTAATTCATTAATTTTTTAAGTACATCATCATTTAAGAAGGAACTTCTAAAGAACATAGTTATTAGAATTTGCACAAGAATGCTTAGGGGTAATCAATTTCATCTATGAAATAGACATCGCTCCATGATAATCGGTTTTCTGATTCCTCATGAGAGACACCGTATATTTTGTTGCAATCCTTGTTCCTTAGCAACAGAAACAAAATCTTGTAACAAAACGTGCAGTTCATTCAGTTGTATTCGGGCATCCATCCTCTCAAGATTCGTCTCTGCTTTCTTCCACCGAGTCATCCGCAATTCGCCAAAATGGTAATTCTTTCTTCAATTTTAAATAACTGTTCGCGTGCAACCAAATATTGCAATAATTACTTAGAAAATACACCATTTAGATGACCTATCGTTCGATGGATTTATCAATTTATATTGTACCTAATAACAGCGTGTTGATAATCTTCAAACATTGATAAAAATACAAAAATTACGTATTTTATAATTGTAATGTTAATAGCAATTGATATTAGTTATGTCTCATGATGTAACGATATAAGACGTAATGGTTGCTGTTGTTGACAGCTGATAATATTCAAAAGTAGAGGAAATTGTAAAAAACTTTTATTTATTTAACCCGTAAGCGTGAAGTACTGTCGGTTCACATTGGCCAAGGTGGCGTGCAAATGGGCAATGCCTGTTGGGAGTTGTATTGCTTAGAGCATGGCATACAACCCGACGGCATGCTTCCGCCTCAGAGTTGCTCCAGCGACGAAGGCTTTCAAACGTTCTTCAGCGAAACTGGCGGCGGAAAGTACGTGCCGCGAGCTGTATTCCTGGACCTTGAACCAACGGTCATCGGTAGGTTTAACTATAAATAACTGGTCATCAAACGATGAAATCGTTTTACAAATCGATATCACGACTGTGGTATTCTATATATCCAGACGAAGTTCGAACAGGAACCTATCATCAGTTGTTCCACCCGGAACAGCTGATCTCCGGCAAAGAGGACGCGGCGAACAACTACGCTCGGGGCCACTACACCCTCGGCAAGGAGATAATCGATCTGGTGCTCGACAGAATTCGCAAGATCGCCGACATGTGCACCGGTCTGCAAGGTTTCCTGATATTCCACGCGTTCGGCGGTGGCACCGGTTCAGGATTCACCAGCCTGTTGATGGAGCGTCTCTCGATGGACTACGGCAAGAAGGCGAAACTCGAGTTCGCCATTTATCCATCGCCGCAAATCTCCACCGCGGTGGTTGAACCTTACAACGCCATCTTAACCACTCACACGACGCTGGAGCATTCGGACTGCGCGTTCCTCGTTGACAACGAGGCGATCTACGACATTTGCAGGCGAAATTTAGACATAGAGAGGCCAACGTACACCAACTTGAACAGATTAATCGGCCAGATAGTATCGTCCATCACGGCCTCGTTGAGGTTCGACGGTGCGCTGAACGTGGATCTGACCGAGTTCCAGACGAATCTGGTCCCGTACCCTAGGATTCATTTCCCTTTAGCCACGTACGCGCCGATCGTCTCGATCGAGAAAGCTTACCACGAACAATTAACGGTGATGGAGCTGACGTCCTCTTGCTTCGAGCCGGCTATGCAAATGGTCAAATGCAATCCACAGAGGGGCAAATACATGGCTTGCTGCCTGTTGTACAGAGGGGACGTCGTCCCGAAAGACGTGAACGCGTCTATTGCGACGATCAAGACGAAGAGGGCGATACAGTTTGTCGACTGGTGCCCTACTGGCTTTAAGGTAGAGGAACCCTCTCTCCTCCTACGAATTTCTGACAGACGCTTGAATAAATATTGTGACATTGCATTAGCTACCGAGGTATAGAAATGTCATAGAATTTGTATTTTTTCTTCTCGCGTGGAGATTTATTTCAAGATGATATTTCTCCTTTTTCACCTTCCAACGATTCAGCAAAACTCATCTAATAATTAAAATTGGATACTATAATTTAAATTTAAAAATATTATTATAGGACTAGAATAAAATATTTCTTCACGTATAATAATTTGAATATATCTCTAAAAGGTTGAAATGAACCTTTAAAAATTAATTTATTTGCACCTTTCCGATATTGTATATATATCTCGAAATTTTTCGTTCGAAGTAAAGTTCGAAGAAAGCAACACTTAACATAATTATTAATATTATTAGAATTAAATTTTTGAAGAAATTAGCTTCTTGAGAAAAATTTTAGAAAGTAAATAGTTTGAAGATGTTAATTGGATTTTTAGGTAGGAATTAATTATCAACCACCAACAGTGGTGCCTGGCGGGGATCTTGCCAAAGTGCAACGCGCTATGGCTATGCTTGCAAATACCACAGCAATCGCTGAAGCATGGACGCGATTAAATAGGAAATTCGACCTGATGTTCGGGAAACGCGCGTTTGTTCATTGGTAAATATAAACGCGAAAGTTGATTTTATTTCTGAAAGAAAGTAGCAGATCGGTGACTTTCATTTCGAATTGCAAGAGTTCTGATTAATAAAATAAGTTCGTGTAATAAAACTCATTCGTTGATGGCAAATCAAACGGATTAATAACGCTTAATTTATATTGAACGATTCGTTTTCACTCGTTGAAATTCGTATTCGAGAACTCAGGTTTATTTCGACGATGAAATGTAGGTACGTGGCCGAAAGCATGGACGAAAGTGAATTTAACGAAGCCAGAGAAGATCTGGCCGCTTTGGAGAAAGATTACGAAGAAGTCGGCATGGACTCGACAGACGCTGGCGAGGGTGAAGATGAAAATTAAACGAGCATCGTATTATCGCACGCAAGTTCATCTATTTCATCCAGGAAAATTTTACGAGAACGACCCCCGTTTTCTACAAATACTATACGCTGCTTTTGTTAATTTTGTTTTTGTATATTGTCCTATACGTTGTTTTAATAGGTAGCTTTATTTTTAACGTACGTCTACATAATTTGTAAACTTTTATATTGTAAATAAAAGTTTGTTTCTTTCTTAAAAAAAAAATATATATATATATATATATATTGAAATTTCACATTACTCTCAACTGAACTGAATTTTCAGATCGATACTACGTTACTGAGGATAATTGTTGAGAAAGTCAGTCGATCGATATATTTTGGAAATAATTTAGAAATTTTGCGAAACAGCTGCCTTCAAGATAATTGTGACGCTCGTTGATTCTCGTTTCTATTTTTGTAAAGGAGAGGGGGCGGTAATTGCAAGACGACCCACGGATTCATAGATATTACAGGCTTTTTATTGTGTAGGACAGCACGCGGCTACACGAATTATATTACATATGTATAAACTCGTAATCGATAGCTTTACAGTTACAGAGAACTCTTATCGCACATAGAATCATCTTTCAAT